AATCTCATGTTTATACTCAGCGCGCCAGAAATTGCGTCGCGCAAATACGCACGTACTGAGGTACGCAGTGGGTTAAACAATTAAACAGCGGCGGAAATGACCAGGAAACCTGTAATGTCTATGCATGGACATACCTAGACACGCCATTAAAGTGACAGTATTAGTGACACATCTTTCTTCTCTGGACAGGTACCCTGGAAAGCTTAACTGTGCTACATCAGTGCCACAAAAGGATTTTATTGTTATCATCATTGCCCTTCCATAGGTAATCCGGCAAGAGCCTCGCAATGCGGCTTCTTATCGACAAGTGTCTGATATATATCAAGAATTAGGAGATCCTCAAAAGAGTTTACAGTGAGTTAGTTCAACCTATCAAACATGCTCATCTTGAAGTTATCTTTACCTTTCATCCCCCCCCCCTCCCCTTCCCTCCCAACTGAACGCCACGAATGCCTTTGAACTGAGAGGGTAAAACTGCCCTGGTGGCGTTTCGGATAGCGCACTTGCCCGGAAAGCGTGAGGTGCCGCCTAAAATCAAGACTTTCGCTCATAATTCGGCATTCTTGTAATAAGCTCATCTTGTCTCGAAAAGCTTTATCTGTGGTTCAAAAGTAAGCTCATAACTCAGCATTCTTGTAATATGTGCATCTTGGACTAAAAGACCTTTCCCTATGATTCAAAAGCAAGCAGATATTCTGCGATACTCAACAATTACAGGTATGGTCTTCTTGCGGCTCATCTAGATACTCGAACACCCGCTGAAGATTGGGCTCATTGGGGAGACGAATCTAAAAAGCTCGAACTTATTGAGGAAGCAGCTGCATGCTATGGGAGAGGTGAGGGAACTGTCCTTAAACGAGTACTCATCATGGCATGAGTGATGACGAGGTTTTGCTGTGCAGCACGTATAGGAAATTTTCCTCATTTGTAGCTATTCGACTGAATGTCTCGAACTGGAAGTACTACGAAAACCGCATTGAGATGCTGGATCTGTTAGGTAAAGTCGCCTTCTTAGAGCAATTACTGTACGAGGAACATGACTGCGTTACCCTGACTTGCAGGGCTTCGACCACTAGCGATGCGTACTCGTTTGCAAGCTGCTCAGATGATCGATCCCTCACAAGCTGGAGTTGACTTCGAATGGTTTCATGAACTGATTAAAACGGTTAGCATCACATTTGAAAACCATGTGATAGTTCTGAAGATGAATCTCAACCCGAACTGTAGTAAAAGAAAAGAGTGAAGCTCTCAGTGTTGATCGGTCCTTTTCTAATGCGCCACGTAATTGGGTTCATTCAGAAACTATGATTTCGAAAGCGATTTTACCTAGGCGGTGAATATTGGGGCCCACCCTTGGTATAATACTATTTTATTGCTCTCCCAGAATAGTCTAATACCAACTGACCAGTTAAGATGGAGAACTTGTTTGGCTCGAGCGGGA